ATAAATCCATATTCATTTCTGACGTTGAACATTTAACGATGCCAGGGACTTTGGTGGAGAACTTTCTTCTCTGAGTCTTCACCGCCCACCAGGCCACAGAGGTGAGGGCAGCAGGCCTGGGGGCTGCAGGCGCCGAGTCCTCTCCTGGGCTCCTCGTGGCTGGGCAGGAGGATGGCTGCGGCGCCCATCTGGGGGCAGAGGTTGCAGATGGGAGCGCAGTGGAGCTAGTGGTGCCAGGGGCCTGGCCCGCCTGGCTCATGCCACTGCTCGCTCGCTGGCTCGGTGGCCCTGTCCCTAGGGCCATGGGGCTCTCCTGTGGCTGGAGTTCCGGCTGCGCACACTCAGCTTGGCGTGATCTTACTTAGCGCCTCTATTTTTTTTTAATCTATATCTGCTCTAGAGTTATTAATCATATATTTCATTATGGTCACCATTTCAGTTGTTATCTGAGAGATTATTTCTGATTTCATTTTTTTCCAGAGCCTCTTTCATCTGTTATGTTACTTCTCTTGTTACCAATTCAGGGAGTCCAGGTGGTTGCAATGCAGATTGTTCTACCTCATTGCCCCCTTGATTTGCCTTTGGTGGGCTAAAAGTCTGAGTTTGCATCTTATTTAGGTGTCTTCTCATTTCTATTTTGTTGTTGTTGTTTTTGGTTTAATTCCTGGGTTGGTACTTGTATATTGCTCACTGCAAGTATCTTTATTGCTAGTATTTAGAACCTTTAGGGAATGGCTACTTCTCAGATTGTCTTCTGGGTATAGCTGGCCTTTGGGTTTTGAGTCTGTAATGACCCTTAGGCAATCTCAGTCTTGATATTACAGGAAGAACAACTGACTAGAGCAATCATGTCACCTTGGCCAAAGTAATATCATCAACATCAACAATAGCATCAAACACAGCCTAGAAAATGACAGACTGTGGTAACTATTAATCTGCTGTCTCTAACTGTATGAACTAGACTTGTGGTTATATATCAAAATCTAGAACCAACAAAAAATATGTTTGCACTAAATAACCCCTTCAATATAGCGAATTTACCCTCTGAGGGGAAGACTTAAAAGGAATTGGGGATGGAGTAGGGGATAGAGCAATAGCAGGAGAGGGAAAGGTTAGAAGTAAGGCTAGAGAACATAGGAAGATCATGAAAACTTTGGAAAACTAATGAAGACAGGAAGAAAAGAAAGAAGGAGGGAACAAAAACAAGAACAGATCAAACTAACCAAACTATCAGCAACAGGAATTCTGGAAACCGTGCTCATGCTCCTATATAAATAAGGACAATCAACAAAAAATAAAACAGGACAAAAAAGGAACGAGAAAGGAAAGAAATGAAGCAGAAGAAGAAAAGATAAGAAAAGAAAGAAAAATGACCTCTTCAAGACGTGTCTCTGCTCTCACCAGTGAACCATGTGGACAGCCTACAGATTCAAGTTGACTAATCTCAGCAAGCAAGCAGTAGTCCACTGAAATTCAGTCTGGTTTCTGCCTAGAAGGCTGGAATTGAGCTGCCTGACCTCCTGTGAGTTTGAATTCTCCACAGTTCCACTGCAGATTCAAGCCACCCTTACCCTGAGGCAAGTCCAAGTTCCCGGGGGTAGGAGGTGCTGACCCCAACAACTCACCAACCACTGCAGTTGGCTGTGTCTCACTACAGTGACTCTCTTCACTCTCCTAGTGGGCTTCAATTCTCAACAACAAGCCTCAGAGAGTCCCTCTCTGCTGCTCACCACTGCACTATCTTCCTGAGCTCAGAATGATGGTCTTTATGTGCTCTGCCACTTGAGGTCTGGCCCCAGCAGGCTTCAGGGAGGGGCCTGCACCATGTTAAGCAGCTGTGCTCCCCAAAGGCCTCAGGCCTCTGGGCTGGTGCCTGTGCCTCACTGTGCCTCTGGCAGGGGTCCTGTGCTCCACTGCACTGTGCTGTGATGCACTGTGCTCCCAGCAGGCTTCTTGGGCTCCTGGTGGGCTTCTCATAATTGGCTTGTTTTGAGAAGTGAGTCCAGCCAAAGCCTACATGTTGAGGTCAGAGTAGCTTGCATCCAAATTCCATTCCCACAATTCAAACCTCCTTACCTAGAAGGACAATATTCTAATCACAACCATACAGTTTATCTATTCTGTTTCTAATTTGAGAATGCTTTGTCTTGTCCTTTATAAGCCTTGCTTGTATTATTATCCATGGTAACTACACAACTGCATGTCCTCACATGTAGTTCCCCTTTACATGTAGCTGCCCTTTACTCCAATTTGATTACCAATAAGAAACAGCAGCTTGGACTGAGCAGCACCTTTGCTGGATGAGCAGCATTGGTGGTACTGGCTTCTTGGTTTCTCTGTCTCTTGAGTTTCATCTTTTAGGTTTGTTCTCAGCCTTGTGCTGTAGCACTGAGCAGGAGATCAGAACCTACTGCAGAGGTCTCTGATATTCCTGAGTGCCAAGACCATATAGCTGTGCACTCTCACACTGTCCTTGTGATTGCAGATACTTTCTGATGGTAGAATTGGTGTAGCATTTTATATATTATTTTATAACTTTGATGATGAGTGAAAATAAAGCTTACATTCACATATTTATATTAATGGTTAATATTATTACTATCACTAATTAATTCTAATAGCTTTGTGAAGTAAATCCTTTTGGATTTTTTATACACATAATTATTTTGTCTACTGGGGTATGGAAGACTTTCCTGTCCTAGGAAGGCTAAAACAAGCAGATCTCAAGTTTATGGCCACTAGGAACTTGTCTCAAGAAAAATCCAATTATTTAATATAAAAAATAAAAGGAACTTATATTCTTTTTGCTCTTTGTTTTTTATATTTTTCTCACTCTTCTTGACTGATTACATAATTTCCAGTACTGTGATAGCAATTTCAGGAATGGGACTAGATATTCTTGGCTCATGCCCAATATCAGAGGGAAAGCTTTTGTATTTCATGATTAAATATGACCATTTTTTATGTTTTCAGTAGATACCCTCTGTTAGTTTAAGGGCTTTTACTAGTGTTCTAAGCTTGCTAAGATTTTTGCCATGAATAAATATTACATTTTACCAAATCCCTTTCTGCTTATAATTATAATCTACCAATGTAATGATTGTGTTGAGTGGCTTTTAAATTTTAAATTGAATGTGTGTGTGTGTGTGTGTGTGTGTGTGTGTGTGTGTAAGCTCCCACAGTACTGAGAATTGAACCCAGGACCTCCACACTGAACTATATCTCCAACACTTTTAAAAAAGAATTTTTATTTTGAGACAGGATCTTGTTGGGCTCAAACTGATAATCCTCCTGCCTTAGCCTTCCAGAGTACTGGGATTACAGGTATGTGTTGCCATGCCTGTCTTTAATGTGAATTTTTGGAACAGGGATTGACTATAATACATTTTGTTTTATATATTGCTGGGTTAACAGAGCTAATGATTTGTTTCCAAATCACTTGAGTAAATACCTATGAATAATACTGATGGGTCATTAGCGAGATAAATAAATGTGTAACTTTGAAAGATATTGACAGCTGGCTTTTCCAAGTGGGTGTAGCAAAGGAGCACTGAATGTGAGCATTTGTTGAAGTTCCTTCTCTGTAGGCATGATAGTGCACGCCTGTAATTCCAGTTACTGGGAAGCCTAGAAAGGAGACAACAAATGCAAGCTCACCCTGAGAACTTAGTGATTTAACAAAACCTTGTCTCAAAATAAATTTTTTTTAAAAAAAATTGAGTTAGGATTGTCTCCCAGTGCAAAGGCTCTGCATTCAATCCCCAGTACAGCAAAAAGAAAAAAAACAATTCTCACCACTATTTTGTTTTTTTTTTTAATTTGGAAATTTTATAGACAGATAATTGTATTTCTCCATGGATTTAATTTATACTTCTTCAATGACTAATGCCAATTTGTTTCCTTATACTTTCCTGCAGAATGTTTTGAGTGTGAATCTTACATTTAGATTCCTGTCTTATTTTTAGCTAATTAGTTTATTAGTGAGGTGTGTTTTGAGATTCATATTCCTTGACTTATGGGTGCCTGTTTTGTTCAGCAGCATTTGTTGCGAGATTTGTCTTTTTTCCATTTAACAATTTCTTGCTGTTCTCATATTTTAGTTGATTACACAGCTGCAAATCTGTTTTTGGCCTTCTTTTCTTTTCCATGAATCTGTATTCTGCCCCTGCACTAATGAATGTGACTTGTAGTAGGTCTTGAAATCAGACATTATGAGTCTCCCAATTTTCTTCTGCTTTTTAAAAGTGTTTGTTTGCTTGCTTTTTTTCCTTTTTAGTTTATTTGCCTTTTCAGACAAGCTGTGAAATCAGCTTATTGATATCTACATAAAGATTACTGGAGTTTGTTTGGGATTACATTGAATCAATAGATAAATAGATCATAATGATATATTTGCTTATTTCATGCTAGAAATTCACAAGAAAATCTTTAAGTTTCAACAATTACATCCTGTAAGAAACCTTTCTCAACTTCCCAAGTAAGATGAATCATATTTTCTGCTATTCCTCTGCATTAGTCTAATAATTACAAAGAGAATCACCCAGGGGAAGCACAATGTAATGGCTTATGTCCACCAGCTGACTGAGAGGAGGAAAACTGTTTTAAGGGTACAGCTCAGTGGTAGAGTGCTTGCTTGGTGTGCTTGGGGCCAAGGGTTCCTTCCCAGCACCATCAGACAGGACAGAGAGAGGCTTAAGGGTGGAGGGGTGCAGAGGTGGAGGGGAAGGAGCAGCATAGAGGGAGGGAGGGAGAGAGAGGGAGAGAGAGACAGACCCCAGAAATATAAATCTCAGTAGGCCCATGGATCAAATTTCAGATTTACAATGATAAATGCTCTTTTTTTGTGTATACAGTAGGAAACTTTTTTTTTTTTGTCTATAGAGTCAGACATGGTTTTTTGCAAATCATTGTTTATACACTTTTTGGTAGTTTTTGTTTTTTTAAGGTGTTAGTTTTGCAGCAACTTTTGAAGTCAATAACTTCTCTTTGTTATTTCTTAGCAATCTTGTGAAGAAGCAGAATTGGCAGAGAGTCTCCACTGGCCAAAGAAGCACCCCTTCAGCAGGTTTCTTTATGGATTTTAGTAGCAGTCAGTAGCTCCTTAGAGGACCATAGACGTGGCTTGGATTCTGGCTTTCTTCATCATAAAGTCATTCATCATCTCTCTTTGACTTTAGACTCCCATGCCTATAAAATGGAGCTGAGAAAGCCTAACATGGAAAGTGTAAGATTTAGTGAGATAAAAGTATCACAAGGAAACACACTAATACTATAGTTATTTTTGCTTACTGTTCTCAACACTCCTACACTTCAAATAATCAGGCTCGGACTATTGGCCTCGATTGCTGTACTGATAAGACATTGGCCACCATCTTCTGGATACTTCCTCTGGGAGGCACTCAGCAAAGTCATGCAGGGCATTCTGGACTGAGCTCCTTCTGATGCTGTGCTGCTCTGAATACAGTGGGAATGGCCTGAAAAAACCAAAAGAAAAAGGGAAAACACTCAAGGTCTCCTAGCACTAAACACTGACACTGAATAAAATTCATTTGTCTTAATCCACAAATTGTGCATAGTATTTATTGATTCCAGTTACAGACACACAAATCAGAAAGTAAGTAAGTTAACTGTGACCCTAGAACAGATGACAGCAGCCCGTGTGAACCTGTGGATGGTACTATTTCCAGGCTAAGTTGTTCCTCTGCAGCAGATTCCACTTTTAGGGGCAGGAAACTGGCAGGAGAACTCTTGCAAATGGGCAGCTTTTCCTTGGTTTGGACAAAACAGCTGTCGACCCAGCCTGCCTTAGAGCCAATGTCAGAAGAAGATGAGATTACTACCTCTGGGAGTGAGGGTGGGGTGTTGTCCCAGAGGGCTTGGTGCAGGCCGTGCCAGGCGAGTGGGTGGATATCCGTTCTTTCCGGACCCCATCGATGTGAGCTATGATTGACAAATGGAGTGAATATTTAAATCAAACAGTAAAAGACCATGATCATTAATCTTCCCTGGCTGCCTGGACCTAAGTGGACGCCAAGCGTTTCCCTTTCATGGTGATTTTTACTTCAGGAAGAGCCAGGAGCCTAAGCCATGTGGAACGTACTTTTTGTAACACCTTGTAAAAACACTCAGGAAAGATACCTTCCAGAACTGCTTCAGAAAGTGGCAAAAATGATGGGAGAAGTGTGTTCGAAGCCAGGAGGAGTATTTGGGGAGATTAATAGTGATGTGGGTTTTACGTGTTTTTAAATTTAATTGTTCTCTGTATATTTTGGTCATCCCCTGTATTTGTAGTTTTTTTATTTTGTATATATTTTTTCTTCTCCTATTTTGTTTGTATCTACATCTTTTAAAATACAAAAAAAAACCCTTTTATGGTTTAAAGGAGATTAATAAGAACTGGAAAAAAATAGAACTGGATAAAATTTTTGGAAATCATAAATCTGGTTATGCAAATCATAATCTAAATCTAATGTCTACATACACAGAAAAGCCTGGTGTGGTGGATAACTCCTGTTATCCCAGAACTCGGGAGGCTGAGGCAGGAGGATCACTGAGAGTTTGAGGCCAGCCTGGGCTACATAGTGAGTTCAAGCCTGGCTTGCACTACAAAGTGAGACCCTGTCTCAAAAAATAAATAAATAAATATATACACAGAAAACTTTTTCAATTAAAAACCCCTGAAAGTTGAAACAAGAAATGGAAAAATTATCTGAAAAAATATTTTTCCCATATGAATAATGAAAGTGGCCAAAAAAGCACACACAACTATGTTTGATGTCATTAGTGATCAAGGAAATGCAAATCAGTATGAGAATGTAAAACAGGAATGCTCCACTAACACTGAGATATGTGACATTTCCACAAAAGTTGAATCTAAACATCTGTGTAATCCAGCAACACAAGGTGTTGTTTTGCTGCATGGATATATCACACTTAACCTGTTCATTTACCACTTCAATAACATTTGACTTGTCTTCATTATTCATAATAATGAATAATGTATGAATATGCATGTCAGTGTTTTTGTGGAACAGAGGTTTTTATTTCTACTAGGTCAATGCCTAGGAGTTCAGGGTAGTATGTAAAATTTATGTTGAACATTTTTAGAAACTTCTAATCTGTTTTCCAATGTAGCTTTAGCATTTTACATTCTGACCAATAATGTGTGAGGTATACTTTTCCCCACAACCTTGTGAATAAAATTCATTATCCTTCTCCTTGATTATAGTCATTCTAGTGGATGTGAAGTGGTACCTCTAGCCACCTTCCTTTATTTGTTACTGTAGTGATTAATGGTATCAAGTATATTATTATGTGCTTATTTTCCATTCATGTATCTATTCATGTGTCTGTGTATCATACTTTGGCAAAGTATGTATTCAAATATTTCTTTTCCTTTTTGAACTGGCCAATTTCTCATCTTGCTTTAATTCAGTAACTACTCTTTCTTTGTGCTAAGTGCTTTATCAGATAAATCATTTGATACTTTCTTCTAGTTTATGTGTGTGTTTTAAAGTATCGTTAATTTTGATGAAGTCTGAGAATGTTGCTCTCTATCAAAGCCCTATAAGTTCAAAGTTTAGAGAAATTCGCCTGGTTTTTCAAAAAGTTAAAGAAATCCTCCTGTTTGTTCTCTTTTAGACAATGGTTTAATGCAAGAAACAGCCTTCCTCCTATTACATAGATAAAACTCACAAGTATGTATCTGCCTACAGTGAGGCTACATGTCAACCCATCAAATTTCAACTCTTCCTTATTACTGATTAGCTGAACTGAATGTCTCCAAAAATTAGTGTTTGTGGGCTGGGGATTTAGCTCAGTGGTTTGGCTGCCTGCTGCGCAAGCGCAAGGACCCAAGTTCAATCCTCGGTACCACACACAAAAAAATAGTGTTTGTTAGCAAAATTTTTATTAATTAAATGTTGATTAAGCTTTTCTTCTTTTCTCATGTCTTAATTCTGCACCACCCACACTCAGAGCCAGCACACAGCCCTCCTGAACAAAGGTTAACCTCACATAAAAGCATGTCTGGTCTGTGTCCAAGCTCTCCTGATGCAGGATCCTGCCACTCCATTCTGTTTCCTCACACCCAGTTCTTTACTCTTTTCATGTATTGGCCAATGCTTACTAGAGAAACAGATTTAATGCAAGATTTTGTTTTGTTTTGTTTTTTGAGACAAGGTCTTATTATGTAGTTCAGGCTGACCTTGAGTTCACTATGTACCCCAGGCTAGCTTCAAACTCACAGTGACCCTCCTGCCTCAGCTCAATAGCATTAATTTCTGCTCTGATCTTTATAATTTCCTCCCTTGTATGAGATTTGGGCTTGACTTTCTCTTCTTTTTCTATAAGGTTGAGGTTTCTAATTAATTGTTTTTTATAATTTGAGCTCACTATGTTTTTCTGATATGGGAATTCACTGCTATAAATTTCTCTCATAGGACTGCTTTCATTGCATCCCATAACTTCCAATATGTCACATAGGCATCATTTAATTATAGAACTGTCCAATTTCTTCTTTAATTGTTTTCTTTTAAGGCTTAAAATACTTCACTCCAAGTTCTCCTTGACTTAAGAGTTTGTGCTGAGAAGTCTGCTGTGATCTTGATGGGTTTTTTAATATAAGTTATTTGTTTCTTTTCTCTAACAGCATTTAATATTCTGTTCTTATGTTGAATTTCTGGAATCCTGACTATTATATGCCTTGGTGTTGTTTTTTCTTATTATTACTATTTGGAGTTTTATATGCTTTACTTATCTGTATCTCAAGTTCTTTTTCCATGCTTGGAAAATTTTCTGCTGTTACTTAGGTGAACAAGATTGTAATCTCTTTTTGCTATCTCCCGATTCTTCATCAATTCCAATTAACCTTATATTAGTCTTCTTTGCATTATCTAGCAGCTTTGGGATTGATTTTTCATGATTCTTTGCTATTTTTCAGAGATCTTTCATTTGTTGATCACCAACCACAAACCTGTCTTCTAGATCTGATCTTCTATCCTCACATTGTTTGACTGCTGCATATACTTTCAGTAGAATTTTTAATCTTATGGATTTTTATTTGTCTGTTTTATTCAATCAAGTTCTTTTCTATGTTGGGCACTCATGGTTTCCATATCTTTCCTAAGTCCCCCTATTTGTTTATCTGTATCTATTCAACATTTTCTAATCCTTTCCTTCACTATGGTTGTCATCTCTTTAATTAATTCTGTTTTGTTATTGTCAAGGGACTTATTGATCTGTTTTATTACTTCTATTACCACCATTTCAAAAAATTCAGCTTGGAGGTTTTTGATTTCTTCCCCTCAATGCTCCCTTTATTTGCTTTAGGTGAGTTGAGGATTATGGGTTACCTTTTGCTTCCATGTTTTCTCATTTTCTATTTTTAAAAATTTGTTTCTACATTGAGGCTTATAAATTACTTATGGTAGGTAACTCTATTACTAGTATGGAAACCTCTTCAGGAAATGACTACTTTTCAAAAATGTCTTCTAAGCATAGCTAGTTTTGATTTTTGAGTCTGTCCGAAGATCCTGCCTCTTCAATTTATTAGGGATGAAGTGTTGCTGTTTGTTTGGTACTGGACTACAGTATTGTTCATGACCCCCAAGCAATCTAGTTATTAGCATACAGGGAAGATCAGTTGGTCACAACAACTATATCACATTGGTTAAAGAAGTACAATCAGTAGTAACAGCATCAAGCACAGACTAGGAAATGACAAACTATGATAACTATTAATTTGTCAAATATAGCAATAGAACAATTTATAGTTACATAGGAAGATCTAAGGCAAATCAGAAAATTATATACAGTAAATATCAACTTAGTAAAGTGATTGTACCCTAAGGGGAGAGAATCTTAAAGGAATAAGAGGAAAAAATAGAGAACTTAAAGAAGATAAAGAGATTAGAATCAAGGCTGAAGTACAAGCCCTAGGAAACTGGTGAAGAAGGAGAAAAAGAATGAAGGAAAGAACAAACACAGAAGCAAAACAAAAGAAAAAACTAAAAACAATGTTCACACACCTGCACACACAAACCAAATAATTTTTTAAAACCACACAAATGAACCAGAAAAAATAAATCAAAGAAAAAAAATTTTTTTCTGTGATTTCAAGACTATGATTATCTTCTGGAGCCAACAGTTTTATGATAGTGTTCAATTCAAGATGTGACTCTGTTGTCACTGGCAGAAAGAGGAAACATTCAGAGCCCAAATCTGTGTTGGATCGTCCCAACAAGTCTGCAGTAGGATTAGCATAGGTTACTGGTTCTAGTACTTTCTTTTTTTTTTTTGGTACTGGGCATCAAACTCTGGACCTTTCAGTTTCAAGGCAGGCACTGGAACCACTGAGCTAAATCCTCGGCCCTGGGTCTAGTACTTTCAAATCCACAGAAGTTCAGGCTGACCCTGGCTGGTTGTAAGATTGGGGCCTAAGTCATTCACCCTACAACACTCTGGGTATCTCTTGCTGCCCTGACCACAGCTCCCTGACCCTGGATACTTCCTACAGTTGTCCCTCATTTAGTCATTGTAAAATTTCAACAGTGTGAGCCCTGAGATGAAGCCAACCCATGGATGCTCTAC